ACTACCTGAGTAGTTGACTACTCGTTTCCCCTCGTCCTTGCTGCTTCTTTATCAGAGGCAGCAAGAAGGTAGGAGCCGGGGCCAGTGCTGGAGGGAGCTGGCTTAAAAGCTGATTCTCCCAGCACTGTCTCTGCGGAAGCAGTCCTGGAGCCGTGGCTCTGCCCTTTAAATGTAGGTGCAAGCCTGAGTTCCGGACCTACTTCCACTGTGGCTCTGCCTTTTAAATGTACCAAGAGCCATCTGGCTCTTGCTACATTTAAAAGGTAGAGGTGCAATCTAGCAGAACTGGTGTGAGTTGGTATTGCTGAGTCCCAGCTCATGCCAGGTCTGGACTTAACCCTGCTGCAGCTCTGCAGTTTAAATGAGGTAGGAATCGGGCTGCCTGTGTGCCCAGCTCCTACTACATTTAAACTGCAGAGCCCCAGTGGGGCCGCTTATTGACTAATCATGTACACGATTTAGTCAACTGCCTGCTTCTTAACATCTTTAGCACAGGCACTGACTCAGTGGATGCTTGGAGGCTGGATCACCCACAAGGAAAAAATGGTGGCTTCTCCCAGCATCTCCTGCCTGCCAGTTTGCCACTCAATCAGTGCCTTCCCTCCCTCCCTGCATCTCCCACCCAATGCAATCAACTGCACACAAGAGGCTCTGCATAAGGAGCAAGGATGCAGCATACTCAGGGGAGGGAAGAGATGGAGGCAGGGGTGGAAAGAGGCAGGATAGAAGGGAGCCTTAACAAAAGGGAAAAAGTGATGGAGGGATTAGGGGCAGAGCTGGGGGTCAAGTATCTATCCCCCTCACACTGGAAACCAAATGAGTTTAGAGAGCTACAGGGTTTGGTGGCAGCCAAAGTGAGAGTTCTACAGATCACAGCAGTGCCTACACACAGGCACTAAGGACCTTTGTGGATCACACCCTATGTAAATGTACTGTTACATTTGTTTGCGATCCCTTCAGTTGGTAAAGTACATCCAAGTCTCTCACACTAGCAATCACAATGGCTGGTATCAGGCTGAGCATGGCTCTTGCTTTTCAATGTGAGAAGAAATGTTTCTTAAAGGGATGTTAATCTTCTGACAAATGAGGGAATATTTTGGTGGGGTTTTTTTGGTTTTTGTTTTGTTTTTGTTTTTTAAGAGAAGAAAATTGCTTACGATATGGGAAAAATATTGTGAATCTAATAGCCTGTTCTTTTCATATCATTAAAAATGCAGTGGAATTTTCTGGTGCTATAGTAATAAAGTACACACATGGGAGTAATTTGGTGGAACGAGCAGTCAAATTACTTGTTGCGCGGTTCATGTCAAATCTATTGCCACCCCGTTTCTCTAGAGGATGGGTGGGCAATTTTTGACAAGGGAGCCACTTCAAGATTTTGGAAGGTGGTCAAGGACCGCACTCTTCCATGATACGAAAGGAGGAGATGCAGGGTCTGGAATGGAGGTTGGGTGCAGAAGGGAGTTTGGGGTAAGGGATTAGGGTGCAGGAAGCAGACTTGAGTCTGGGAGGGAGTTTAGGTGAAGGAGGTGGTTGTGACCTAGAGCAGGGGACTGGAGTACAGAGGTTTGGGATGTGACCTAGGGTACGAGGGTATTATCTGGGGCAGGAGATTGGGGTGCATGATCTGGGAGGGGGCATAGGTATAAGGGTGCAAGAGGGGGAGACAGGGTTTGGGTGTGTTGAGTGGGGGAGCAGAGGGTTAGGGCAGGCAAGGGCTGGGGTGCCAGAAGCAGGTTGTGGCCAAGAGACTTACCTGCCAGCTGCCAAACTAGCCCGCCTGCCTGCAGAGGTTAAAATATTTCCCAGCCAGCCATCTGGCCATGTGCTTCACTGAATAACTGAGCTGAGGAGAGGGGGTGTGGTTCTTCTTAGCTGCCAGTTATTCCAACAAGCAGCTCCCATTGTCTGGTTTCTGGCCAGAAACAGGCCAATGGGATTGTGCTGGGGGCGGGGCAGCTCCTGAAACTTCCCCCTCCGCTCCCATTTTAAAACAGAAATGGAGCCCTGCAGTAGCATTTCTGCCTGAGGCTCCCTGCTGCCTCCACAGGCCAGATCCAATGGCTTGGCGGGCTGGATCTGGTCTGTGGGCCGTATTTTGCCCAGGCCTGCTCTAGAGTGTTGAGTGAGTGATCTTCCATTATGAGAGAACTTTCAGCTCAAGCAAACTAAATATCTGTTTTTATTTTTGTTTAAACCAATTCCTTTCCATAGGTAGTACAACAAGCTGTGCTCAAACTGGGAAAGGGATAAATAAGGAGGTTATAATCTATACCATTTTCTTAGTTTCTTTCTAAGAAAATAGGTTTAAAATTTCTTCTAATAGGAAAAAGATTCCATTTTTCTTTATGGAAAAAACATTGGATTAGACTACCTTGTGTGCACTGTTTTCAAGAAGCAATATATTGTTCAACTTTTAAGCTTAGATTATACTCACAAAGATATAAACAGAAATAAAGATAACTTGTGATATTTTCTACTTGGATTTGTCCTTTTGCTCAAAATTCAGATATTTTCCCTTTCTGTTTCTTTGCTTTTTACAACTTTAATTCATTGTGATCTGACACCAAAAAATGGTTTGAACTTAAGTAAGAATTTAAGCTATTTTTAAAAATGGTACATTCATTCTGCTTTGTCTTCACATTACTGTTGACCATCTATAAAAACTTTAGGGAGGTGGTAGTAAAGAATCAAATAAAAAGTAAAATGGTAACTAACGACATGTACTGTTCTAGAATGTGCTTGCATCTGGTACGGAGTTCTCAACTTCTTCAACTGAGAAACAAAGACCATTTTTTTAAAAAGTTACTTTGTATGAAAGACAGATCACTTCAGCATGGAAGATCAAACAGCTAGCCTCCCTTGGCTCTAGAAGAGTTAGATTTTGCTCTAAATGTCACACTCCATTTGTACAAAGAAAATGTCATGAGCAGTCATTGTGAGGACAAAGCTGAAACAGGCTGGACCCTAAAATCTAGCTCATTTATTTCACGTGATCTTAGGGTCACTCATCTTGTTTCTTAGGAGACAAATACAAAATGGTTGGGACCTCAAGCCACAAATGGATCTATTTTGTTGCACCTTGCTTGAGTCAGGATCAGAGTGACTTGCTAAAACTAAACTAAACTAAAATGTCATTTTTAGTATAACCCAATGATGATGATGTTGGTCTTTAGTCCTTGTTAGCCTGGGAACATCCAAAATTAACATTTCTCAAAATGTCTTGTTCAGTTGCTGAAGCCACTGGAAAACAGCATGTAGGACTGGGCAAGAGAAGGGGACTTCCCCTCCCATTATGTCTTGAGAAAACTATAGTTCCTAGTATTCAATAGGGATTTAAAGGTGTAGTAGATTAACTGATTAACCCATAAGCAAAAGCATATAAGTTAATGCTATAGACTACATGCATTTATACACACATACGTAAATTTTTTAGCAGGCTGGCCAGCAGCCTGACTCAGTCCTGGCTTGCGACAGGTCCTGGACATAACCCCCCGCTGCAGCTCTGCAGTTAAAGTATATTCGGAGCCGGGCAGGTAGGCAGCCCAGCTCAGTTCCGGCTCACGCTGGGTCTGGGAGCTTAGACAGCCCCCCAGACAGGGGCTGCTGCCACCTTGCACTACTGCCTCTTTATCAGAGGCATCAGCATAGGGCGACAGGCAGCTGGCCCACAAGGGGACCTGGTTTTTAAAACTGGCTCCCCTTGAAGACTAGCTCCTACCTGGCAGGGGTCTTCTCAGGAGTGAGGCCAGAATGCACTGGCTGCTGGCCCTGCCCCCAGGGACTATAGAATATTCGACTAACCAATAAGAATTCACAAGGTTACTCGACTATTCAGTTAACTGATATTTAACATCCCTAGTATTCAATACTGAACACGTACAGCCTAGCAGAAGATATTTTCTTTGCTGAAAACTAAAGAAGCTGCTCTGTCCTTATGTAAAGCATCACTGGGTAGTCTCCACTGATCTCCCACCCCAATTGGATTGGGCTGATTTTTTTCCCTAACAGATAAATTATGGTATTGGTGGATGCAGAATCTACTTCCCATTGCTTATGAACTAGATGAAAACAAGATTTTTTTTCAGTTTATATTGTTAGTTTTTCCATGTAAAAATACAGTGCCAAGCCAAAAATCAGCCACACATGAAGTACATACAACACATGATCAAACCTCTGTATCTTCAGCCAACATGAAGTAAGATATCACTATTCTGATAAGAATCTCAATGGGTGCGGAGAGATGGTTTTGGAGTGCAGGAATAACAAAACTTCACTTTGAAACAATTCAGTTTTAATTACAAAAGGGATTCAAATTTCACAGTATTTTAGAAGGGAGAAGGAAACTTATCAGCCAAGTCAAACCCATATCTTGACTGGTTTTTAGCATGGACCAGACAATTTTGTCCATTAAAGCAACTGCAGTATGCAATAGTCACATTTTAACTGTGAAAGGGAAAATGATTACTCAGTATTACTCTGCAGTCTTGTACACAGGCTAGAGAAGAGGGAAAAGGGCAATGTGAAGTGCTAAAAATGTGAAGCCTCCAACAAGAACAACTTCATTCTATGGGCTAAAAACAGAGTTCAGATTTGTGGGGGAGGCTGAATTAATTAATTCCTGACCTATAGTCATTATCCCAAGTAAGTATGTCTAGTGTTCCATAGATTTTTCAGTTGTTTTCTAAATGGATTTCTACCAGCCTAGCTAAAACGATATACTATGCATTTTCTACTTGTGGCAAACTGTTCACAAGATGATGTTCGTTTCAGTGTTTACAGTGGAGCAAGACCATCAATTTCATTCTTCTCACTCAAGATGATTGCTTCAAAATGAAGGTTTTGTTATTCCTGCACTGCTGCCCTTACCTCCCAATACCCCAAATCCACAGCCTTTCTTTTGCTTCAGTGAAGCTGCAAAGGCTTTGTGGTCCTCGTGTAAAACATACATCACTTGCTCATTAAAGCTAAGCTTTTGAGGACATGCCCCATTTACTGACCTCTACCAACGGCCTGGGTTTGCGCTCTACTGCAAACCTGAAGTGGCAGAGTTCACAGTAACTGGTATTCGAAGACGACAGCCAATGCTCCAGGCAGCTGCGATGAATAGTCCCCAGGGTTCCTGTACATTCACATGGAGAGAGCAGATCTTCCTGACTGCTGCCTTCATGGCAGATCCTGCACATTGGCCTGTCATTGAAAGGGCTGCTAAACAAGAAATGGAAATGGCTGGTCAGTATATTAAGTTGTAAAGCACTTCATTTCTCCCTTAGCCCATGTTCCAACATAACAAGAGGGGATGTTCACAGCATGTATATATTTCACTCTTATTTATACATTAGCAAACATGTATAATGTTTACCCAGGCTAAAGTTGAAGGTACTTTGATATTCTTGTTCAAAAGTGCTGCTACTTCTGGCCTATACAGTGCTAAGCTGGAAGGAAATCCTTAACAAGTGGAGAAGGGAACAGACAGACAATTTATTTATGTTGACAAATTTATCTTTTCCCACTATATTAAGAAATACACCAGGAACTGCTTTGTGGGGTGCACTACAGGAGATATCCCTAAGTGGGGCAGAGTATTTTAACCCTACCCACTACAGGGACACTAGTCATGAGCTGTGCCACTGAACTATAGGGTAAGACAGTGGTCTCCAACTTTTCAACAACAAGATCACTTTTTCAATTTAAGTGCAATGTAAGATCTACTTCAAACCTGAATACCCTTGCCCCATTTCCTTCCTGCTCCTTCTCTGAGGCCTTGCCCCGATCCACCACTTCTCAGAGGCCTCACGCTGCTCACTCCATCCCTCTTTTTCCCCCATCCTCATTCACTTTCACCAGGCTGGGATAGGGGGTTGAGTTGCAGGCTCTGGTCTTGAGTCAAGAGGTTTGGAGTGTGGGAAGGGCTCTGGGCTTATCCCAGGGCGGGGGATTGGCATTCGGGAGAGGTTTCAGGGTTGAACTCTCAGGAAGGAGTTTTGGTGCAAGGGGATAACTGCAGGAGGAGGTTCAGGTCTGGGGCGGGTTCAAGAAGCAAGCTCTGGCTGGGCACCATTTAACTGAGATGGCTTCTGGGCGATGGAGCAGTGGGGTTAAGGGCAGGCTTACGCCTGCTTTGGCCCTGCGCCATTCCTGAAAGAAGCTGGCATGTACAGCAATGGTGCCATGTGCTGCCCCTGATCTACAGGCACCGAGCCCACAGCTTCTTTTGGTCACAGTTCCCCATTACTGATCAATGGGAGCTGCAAGAGTAGTGTCTGCAGGCAAGGACGGCTTGTGGAGAGACCTCCTGCTCTCTCTTTCTCAGGGGCTGCAGGGACATGCTAGCCACTTCCAGGAGCAGCAATTACTATGGGGATAATTACTCCCGCCACAACAGGTTAGGTATTTTAGAACTCACTGCTCAAAGAATTAAATTTAAGCGTAAGAGAAATTAAAGTTATAAAATGCACAGTCCAGTCAAAAACCAAAAACAACCCACTTTGCAAGTAATAAAAGTAGTAACAAACCGCACGTATGTGTTGGGTCGGGAGATGAGAGTGAAGGACAGGGTGTTTGTGAGAATGACAGAAACACAGTGAGAGAGAGACAGAGATTTGCATTGCCAAGCTCCCTCCATCCCCTTCTCTTTGTGTGGAGATGGATACAGAAATGGGGAGAGAAGAGACACCCTGACATCAGCACCTCCCTTCTCCTTCCCACACCCTGCATGGCAAACAGGAGGTTCCTAGGGGGGCAGCTCCAAGGCAGAGGGCAGGAGCAGCATGACAGTAGGTGGAGGGGCAACTGAAGTGCCAGTGCTTGATAGCTTCCCGGCCAAACCAGTCCGGATCACCTGTCAGATGGTCCAAGATCTACCGGTAGATCCCGATCTACTGGTTGGTGACCACTGGGGTAAGATATCCTCTAAGCAGCACAGTGCACTGCCAAGTGTCTCGAAGTCAAGTGTAAATGACTGGGCACAAAAGAGATATTTCATGTTCTGGTCTGGTGAAGGCAACAGCACATGTATCTGGAGCAATTCCTTACTGCCAGCTAAGAAGCACCATTACTGGGTTCTGAAGGGAACAGTATGATTCTTCTCAGCCACAAGATGGATCACTTTTGATGGGGAACAGATGTGGGAGGGGAAGAGCACTCCTCTCTTACAACCACCCTCAGGATGCTATAGACACATGCATCCGTCAGCAAAACGAATGAAAAATAAACGAGAGAGGACTAGATCCCTAAAATTCTAGAATTATCAACTGGAAATACCTAGACTCCTGGACCCACAGGAGGTTTGACTTAGCTGTTCTTCCTGCCAAGGCAGGTAAGTTGCATTTTTGTGGGTGGATCTTTTGGCTGAGACCTTGAAAGCAGAGGCCCTGCCAACTCTGTATGGATGCTTTGAGTTTACAGGGAGTTCTTAGAATAGTGCCTTTGTCTCTAACCCAAATTACCCCCCCCCTCATTATTGTGCAATTGTTTTTGCTGCCCACTAACTACCCCTACTCTGGCTGCTTTTCAGTGGTGTCCTGTGTACATAGGGCCAGGTTCTCCTTTCAATACATAAGTGTAATTGACAACCTAGCCCATTGCTTATTTTAAAAAAACAAAACCCAGTGGCATGTATTTACAAGGTTGCATGCAGATCTGAGCTAGTGATTTCAGTTTATCTTAAAATCTTGATGAAATAAATTGTTTCACTTTACCCCTCCCCACATTTTTACATGGCACCTCAGCAGGTTAAGAACTTCCTCCTTTGCAGATACTTTATCTACCCAATGCAGTGGGCCTGATTCTGTGCTCGTTACACTCATATGAATCCAGTACTACTCTCAAGTCACCAGGGGAACTGAGTAGAATTTTGCCCCAAATCTCCTGTGTGAATATTGCCAAATTCTTATGGACTCTGGTACTAAAGTGTTAAAAAACAAACAAACAAAACCCATGCAGCTTAAGGTCTCAAAGTATAGGACTTGAACATATATTTTGCCACGTAATTTGTCAGTCTGAGTCAATATCATAAAAAGCTGCTATCAATCATATGAGAAATGGCTCAGGCAATGAAGCTTCCATGTGAATCTTCACAAGAGACAGATTCTTTCCTGGTTCAGTACGTTAGCGCATGTGGCATGGTTTAGGAGTGGCAATCTGAACAAAATGCATTATGAAAGTACTACTAACAGCACGTAAGAAAAGGAGAACACTGTAGGCAACAGTCTGTACCCTGACAATGACACTGAGTGTTAGAGATGAAACACACAAATGAGGCATAATTGGAATAAGTGTTCTCATTAGTAAATAATGAGTAGCAAACACAAGTCATCAGAATTTTACCCCTGAAGTTTCCTTCAAATCAAGAGAAATTATTGAAACTTACTCACTTGACCCTCTGTATCTTCAGATAGCACTGCTACTTTTTGTTGCATGAAGTTGAGTTTCATTAATAAAGTGGGATGATGATGATAAATTTATAGTGACGAGAGCTTCATTATCACAATAGCAAATCTTACATAAGCAGCAACACATCTATCTCCTACTGTGTGTGACTTAAAATAAAAAACTAAATATGATGAATTTTTTTTAGCTTCTTATTTAATTGTCACAGAAATGGATATGACTGAGCCAGTATGTGTGAGAGACTTTTTTTTTTTTATGAAGATCTTTTGTTGGATACAGACTTCAATGACAAGTTAATTCTAGCCTCCCCCGTCTGCACTTCCTAGCTAAAACAGTTTAATGATCAATTACATGTTTTCTTGATTTGGTACTACTGTACCTCTGTGTGGCAAGAGTCCTTACTACTGTTGACAGAAGCTGCCCGTCCTTGGCTGAAACTTGCATGACATACTGCGGTTGTCCATTCACAAGACTGCTACAATCCTCCACGGTCTTTACCAGAGGAGCAGCTGAGCTGGTGCAGTCTGGTAAGACTTCAGGCAGGTGACTGCAACGGCTGGTTGTCATGGCAATAGACAGCAATTACTTTGCTAATGGCTTCCACATTCATACAGGATTTCCATCTAGGAACAAATCAGAAAACAATTTATTAAAGCAGGGCTGTTAACAGTGAATGCAAAATTACAGGCAACCAACATCCCATTAGTTAAAATGAAATAGGGTTGGAGTAGCACCTTTTATCTTCTTACAAATTTTACACACACAATAAACCATGCTACTTAATAACACTGCAGCAGGCACATCTCTCTGTGTAACTCTGTCCTACTGATCATTCTAAATTTTTTTAAAGAAAAAACCTACACAGCTCTTGGTTTTGAGAGCTTAAAATATTACTTATGCACCGTGCACAACCTGCTATTTTTCATCTATCTCTGGGAAGCAACTGCATGTATAGGGTTTCCTTTATTTGTTTTTCTCTGTGGATTTCTAAAGTCATATTGGAGATAAATGAAAAGATTGGAACCTTTTGTCGGTCTCTTTTGCCTGCATGTGAAAATGAATATATTAGGTTCATTTTACCTTGACATTTGCCTCTGACCACAAACTAACAGGGCTACATCATGAAAGAAAGTAGTTGATAATCTACTCTGTGAAAATAATCCATTATTGCTAAGCACATTACTTCAACACAGCAGAACAGAGAAACAGCAAAGAATCCTATACCAAGCGTTTGTGACATAAACCTACTTAATGATAGCCTGCATATGGTAATAATTCATGCCACTAGGTGAGGTAAAAATCATAGCATGCATACAGCTCTCTCATACATCTGGCTCATTTTCCCATCACTTAGAATATATTTTATATGCTGTCCCGGGGAGTGGTAATTGCAAAGCAAAGGTTACACTAGCAATCAGGGAAGAAAACAGAGTCTTTGTACACACATTCTTTGCAGCTTCACATAATGATGCTTATTGTGTCCAGGTGTGATTTTTAAGGCAAGGCAGTGTGAGTCCATGTATAAGACATGGGGCTCAGTGCCTTGAGACTTTATTTTACTGAATCAATGCAGTACTGGGCAGATCACTTGGGCAAAAACCCTTTTGGGAGTTGGTGCCAAAATATCTGTGCGGGTCTGAGCTTAACTGCTCTGGAAGACCACTGCTCTTTCTTTGTAACATGCTTTGAGATCCCTGAATGTAAAATACCATTTTAAGTGCTATGAATGACTAGCACATTTACCTGGCATGGCTTAGGTCCTTAAGGAGCAGCTCAGGGCAGGAGACTGGGGAATGCAGGAGTCAGGGTTGGGGTGGGGGTGAGGAGCGGCTCTGGGTAGGAGATTATGTGGGGGAAGGGGGCGAGAGAGGGGATTCAGGGATAGAGCAATCCCAGACAGACAAGGTGTGCTCCCAGCTAGCCCCTCTATCCTGCCTGATGATTATGTCTCTTTTCTATATTGTTTTAAGAGAAGCAATCCCATTCCAGGTGCATTCCATTTTCCAGGCACGACTAAATCCTTATAATGCTTTTAAGTTAGGATAAGGGAAAGCTGTATGCCGAATTTGGGGGTCCTAGGACTTACTGTTTAGGATGAATTATTGAACAGAAACTCTCGCAAATATATAGTAAATTATTATTCTTTGCACACACTGAAACCAGACTTATATAGTGCCTAAGGGTATGTCTACATTGCATTCCTCTTTTGAGAGAGGAATGCAAATGCAGATGAGCGAAATTGCAAATGAAGCGCAGATTTGAATTTACTGCGCTTCATTTGCATAATTGCGTCCAACCGCTACTTCAAAATACGCTATTTTGAGATAAAAACGCCATGTAGACGTGGTTATTTTGAAAGAAACCGCTTCTTTTGAAATAATCCTTACTCCTTAAAAAATTAGGTTTAACGTAGTATTTTGCGCTTCATTTGCAATTTCGTTTGTCTGTATTTGCATTCCTCTCTCGAAATAGGAATGCAGTGTAGACATACCCTAAGTGTTTCTGTATGCACAACTTTTAGTTCACAGAAAAACTCAAAATGTAATTCATCTTGTAGCCACCATTATTTGTACTGTACCAAAGCATTCAAGGATTCAATCTGTGCATTTACATAATAATCATTAATTCACTCTTTATACATACATTTCTAAAGAGCTCTTAAAAGAAGCAGTGTAATTTGATCTTGCTGGATTTGAACAGACACAGCAATGTCACTATTGACCTTCTGAAGTCTCCTGACTGGATCTCTTTGACAGTAAGACCTTGGGCAGATGCAATGATGATGCCATGCCATTTGTACAATGCAAGGTTTAGTATGGGTACAGGCCTTCTTAGGTTTCTAAGAAAAGGAAAGAATGCCAGGAGTGGGAACATCTGTGTTTTAATGGGATAGTTTCAGCTACCTTTTCAAACTCAATACCCCAGAGAGAACTGAATGCCGATGAGCCAGCTTACAGTAGTTTCAATGTTCAGAGAACAGGGAAAAGAAGGAAATCACAGTCTGACCCTCATTTACAAGGAAAATGAAGCAAATGACTAATTTCAAAACCATTAGCACATAAAAGATGAAGACTTCTTACGAGAATAGGACCCACAGGATTTTCAAAGAGTATGTGCAGGCACATGATTACCAGTAACACTTTTGTTTTAAAATACATGCTGAGACTGTTCAACAAGAATATGCAGCAGCAGAGTAGCTGCTTCATTAAACTTAAATAGCCTAGACAGTACTGTGCTTACAGACCCATGCTACAGAATTATATATTTCTTTTCTGATTGCTTCACTGGCCTCATTATGTACAACAGCAAATTTATTGTTCCATATAAAAAGTGACCATTCAAGCCTCTATAAACACATCCATCAGCCATGTGGTAAATTTTAAGAGCATTTTCTGAAACACCAGATGATGCAACTAAATGCAGACTATTAAAGCACAGAGAAATTTTAGCTTTGTAGCTATGTCCCATCTGTAATGTTAATTCAAAACTTTGTGCGCAGCATTGCCTTGGAATTCCAGGCTAGTGTAGAAACCTTGCCCTAGTCTTTTGTCTAACTTAATAATTTTCACTTTTCTAATGAAAAAAACATTAACATAAAATTGATTACATTAATTCAGGCCTTGAGAATAACTTTAAAAAGTTTTGTTACAATTTTAGCATAGCTCTAAAATGTAATTAACTTGATTCCAAACAGTACTTTTGGGAATGTATTTCATGCAAACTGAATTCCACAGTATATGCTTGAAGCTAACACAATTAGAGGGTTCAATATTAAGCATATATTATATTCTTAGGTAAAGATCAAGATTAATTGTTCTAAGAGGTATATACTGGCTAAAGCGAAGCCGAAGTCAATGTGGACTCTAAAGAACAATAAATCTTTATAGCCAATAAAACCCTAAATTAATTCTGAATGTTTTCCACCCAAAGTATCTGAAATCTCTCCATTGTAGCCATAAATATTTAAGCAGAGAAAGTAAGAGCAAAGAGAAGGAAGAAAAGGGGTCTTTTCGCATAGCACTGGTGCATGTCTAAACAACATCCCTCTTTCGAAAGAGGGATGTAAATTAGACAGATCAAAATTGCGAATGAAGCTGGGATTTGAATTTCCTGTGTTTCATTTGCATAATGGCAGCTGTGCATTCTTTTGAAAACGGGTATTTTGAAAGTGAAACCACCATCTAGACACGGTTCTTTACAAAGAAAAGCCTCATTTTTTGAATACAGGATCTTTCGAAAAAGGGTTTTTCCTTTTGAAAACTGCGTCTAAATGGTGGTTTCACTTTCAAAATGAAACCACCATCTAGACGCAGTTCTTTCAAAAGAAAAACCCTTTTTCGAAAGATCCTGTACTCAAAAAATGAGGCTTTTCTTTCTAAAGAACTGCGTCTAGATGGTGGTTTCACTTTCAAAATACCCATTTTCGAAAGAACACGCAGCCGCCATTATGCAAAGAAACATGGGAAATTCACATCCCAGCTTCATTCGCAATTTTGATCTGTCTAATTTACATCCCTCTTTCGAAAGAGGGATGTAGTCTAGATATAGCCTAAATGAAAGATGTAATATTAAGGAGGCAGACGGACCGAGAAAGGCAATGCTAACACAAAGTAATATGACCATGTGAAAGGGTTGAGATGAACAGAAACAGTACCAGACACACATACCTGGCTCAAACTTTGCAACTGGAAAGTCCAGGAGGACAGCCCTAGACTTGATCCTGTTTCTAATGAAAGCTGGCATTGAATTTGTGGTGACAAGAGTATACTTATTGACTTGAGAAAATATGTATCTGTCATTTCCTTTCTCTGCACTGATTACTGCAACCTTCTCATCTAGACTGATTCCCACCTAGTCCCTTCTCTTAGTAAAATTCTGCTGAGAAAATTCCCTTCCTATTGTGCTATTCAACCCATGAATTTCCCTATTCTCCTTTCACATTGCCTTTGGCACCAGATTCAAATGCTTTAGTCTCACCTGTTTTGAAAGTGCTGTAAAATGTAAAAGATTATTAAACCTCAATTGCACTTCAGAGAGACCGCACTAAAAAAAAGTTCAGGGCACTGTCTGCCCATAACTGCAGGTAAGTACATGATACGATTCTCCTTTCTTTCTCCCTCTGCACCTTTTATGGCATCCTTTATTATTCTCGGGAGCAAACATTAAATAATCTTCTCTCTGAGTGGTTCCCTGACCACAGTTTGAAAATTCTGAAACAAGCAGCTTCTTTTTTAGTGAGTTCATCCTATGTCAGTGTTTCTCAACCTTCTTTTTTTTTTTTATAAAGTACCCATTTAAAAAAATAATAAAATAAGAAACCCCTGGTACCTACAATTTTCAGACACACAATATTTTTTCTACTATTGCAACACATTTGTTTAAACAACTTAATCATAGCTGGGCGGGCAATGAACTTTTTGAGTGTAAAAAGTACAAAAATAATAAAGTGCTATAAAACTTAAAACAAAAATTCACAGGTTGAGAAACACTGTCTTATGTGTAGCTCTCTAAAACAAAACAGTGTTAAAAAAACTCATAAGGGTAGTTGCACTTTAAACATAAGTGGTTCTGTGGCACCTTAGAGACTAACCAAAAGATATAGAATCATGAACTTCCATAGGCA